ATAATGTGCACTTCAGGAATTTTGGGTGCATTTAAATCTACAGTTGAAACATTAACCTGTTTTATATTATGTCTCTTTACTGGCGACTATTCAGCTATTTACACTCCTTCAACTGTCATACTGACATTGTGCAATACTGGGTGGTTATATTGTGCAATAAAACCGTATACTGAGACATCAAACTCTGAACAACCACTTGACCTAAACCTTTTTATTTTTACCAATAAGCTATTATACTGTAAAAAGACATTTATGATACATAGGTGGTGTCAATTTATAAGAAAAACTGCCTAAGTGAAGAAATGTAACAAATGCGTCTGTACACAAGACTTTACTAAATGGTTTAATGAGGATTAAACTGATATGCTATGGCATTCAAAGTCACCAAATGAACCCAACTGTTTCTTTGACTTTTCTTTGATTGACACTGGAAAGTAGTTTGGGCCTTAAATGACATGTTTAACACTTACACACCGCAGAAGTGTTGTAACAGTTAACTTCCTCTGGCAGCTTGTTCTTCGGCTTGACTTGCTTTAAGTATTGTGTAAACCAAAGAATTTCTTAAAGTGTCAACTGGAAAAATCCATTATCGTATGAATGACTTCTAGCTTTTGCCAGTAAGTGAAGATGATTCAGCTGTGAGATATGCTAATGGCGCAACTCAAGGCCTGTAGGGTCTGCTGACACACAAAGACAGCATTGTGTCGATCAAAAGAAGGCTATTGTCTTGTTATACACAGAATGTCTATTTTTAAGGCTCGGGGGAAAGCCAGAGGAAAGTTTCTATTCTGAGACAAATTCAAATAGCCATAAATACGAAATGAAAAATAAATAATTTGAAACGCTTCAAAGTTAATGAAAGGACACATTATGCATTGGTCCAGATAGATAAAGGTCAGCTGTGTTGTTGTTGGAAAACAGAATCAGAAAATGCTTTCGATTTCGACAGAAAATCATTGAATCTTTCTAATGAATAATTGTTATTAGTGTCTTTTACCCTTCTAGCATCATGTAATCAAAAACATTCTTTTATTATAACTCAACTGACTTAAACTTTCTTCAACTTTCAAATGTTACTGTAACCAAATCAAGCAATGACAATGACTAACATTATGTTTGGCTCTTAGGTGATGCTTGCCATCAGCTTTAAACATAGCAACTCAGTTATGTTACATTTGTTACACTAGCTTGAAATCCTTCTTTACAAATCCATTCAATGTCGACAAATAATCATGACATTACATTTTCAGAACGCACCATATGATACCAAGAACATGTCCATGTTAAGATTAATTTATTCAAATTCAAAAACCTGGGTCGTGTAGTTTGGGTCATAAAGAATGACATTAAAACAGCCCTTCAAATTCTAACTTTAGGATTGATTTATTTTTCCACATTAAACTGATTGGGTACATTTTTTGATTTTCGATATACAACTTTGTATTAACCTTACTATTATTTTCAACTCAAAGATAAAATGGCGAACACATCCAGCACCTGACCAATGTTAGTCCACCATCTTCTGTGGGAAATATCTGTCTCTTTTGTCCATCAGTGTTTGGTTCTGTGTAGGCCTGCAGTTGGTTTTTAGAGCATTTCATAATAAAAACTTTTAGAAACAAGGTGTTAGTGACACTTAACCAGAAGTTCTCAAAGTGTGGGGCCTAAAGGCATGTCAGGTGGGTAGAAAATACATTCTTGATATTGTACCTTCCCCAAATCCCCAGAATTGGGAAATAACTTTGCAGTAGTAAAAAACAAAATTCAGTGTGACTTGCCCGTCTTGATTTAGCACTCCACTTAGGACTTAAGACTAACAAAACATTAAGTCCCACCACTAAATGCTAAAGAGATGTTTAGCTTTTAGTATTACACAACCCTTTGTGGACCTGTCCAATCAAAGTTACACAGTGTACTCAGTGCAAGTCAATTCACTGGCTAATCCTCTGTAAAATGATATGATTAAATTAGATTTGAAATCTAAAAAAGCAGGACAAACATCTACTGTACTGACATGTACCTGCTGTCCACAGTTCACAGTTTGCAGAGGAATGTTCAACATCTGCTCGCCTCTATTCCTCCTCATATAATTCTCTCTCGGGACAGGGCCGTGATCACAGGAGACGCTGTTAGCACTGCTGTCCCAAAGGAAGAATGCAAACACTAGAGAAGCTCTTCCAAGAAATTCCCAGTTGAGGATCTTTCTGGAATGTCCTAACGAGGTTTCTCCGCTGTGTTTACAGTTCCAGCCCGATGGCAACCCTGCAATCTGTGCTGCCAGCGTATCATTATCTGGCCTCTCTGGGGACTCGGGGAGAGTTAGAGGAGCTTTCTTCCCCCTAAGTAGATATTTTAGATGTTTGTCTTCGTTTTTGCTGTTTAGAGCAAAATGGTCAGCTCTGAAGACAAGAGACAAGAGGCGACCACAGACAGTGGTAAATTAGTTCTAATAAATTGCTGTGCAATTAGTCAGATGTCTAGACGAATAGATGCCGAGCAGCCGCTGTCATGCCACTTTATTATTTTTGCGTCACAGATACTTAGTGTTCTTGGCTGCTCTGCTTGGTGAAAAAAAAGACACTTAATCATTGTTTAGCTAAGTAAAGTGGTTATTGTTTTTGGACTTGTGCCTTATGTTGGGCTACACATGAAGCATCACCCACCCAAGAAGACAAGCTGACCCTGACATTTGACTAAAAGTTGAAACTTCACATCAGAAGAGAGAACACGCTCAATGGTTCTTGGCAGAAAAGGCAGCTGTGTTGGTGGTGGAGTGTGTGTGTGTGTGTGTGTGTGTGTGTGTGTGTGTGTGTGTGTGTGTGTGTGTGTGTGTGTGTGTGTGTGTGTGTGTGTGTGTGTGTGTGTGTGTGTGTGTGTGTGTGTGTGTGTGTGTGTGTGTGTGTGTGTGTGTGTGTGTGTGTGTGTGTGCATTGGCAGTGTGTTCACCCCCAGCTTACATTATGTTCTGATATACTTCAGTGAAATCAGAAACACAAATAAGAACTCAGACCTTATTGACTTCAGACCTCTCTTATGCAACGCAGGAATGTTGGACCTGGAACATTTCACTAGATACAAACGTTGCAAAGGAAAACTTTAAAATGAATTGCAATAAAATACACTAATAAACTTTGAAATATATATTACATATATTTGTTATCAAAATTTAAAATACTCACTTTGCAGATTGGCCCCTTTCAGCACGTTGCATACATATTTACATTATATTACTGGATTATTAATGCTCAAGAAAATGATGTTGTGATCAGCATGTTTCAGCCGGTGGTGATAGGGGTTTGACAGCTTAATATACTGTTTGCTAATCACATTTTATGAATTGATATTATCTAAGTCATTTTTTATTATCCTGTCATTAAAGCATCTATCACCTCAGCCTTCTGTGACTTCAGAGAAAGCACTGAGCCAAAATAACTTTAAAAGCCTGTTTATAACAAAAGGCAGCTCTTAGAGAATGTAAATAATAAATAAAGCAACCTATCTAATAAACATCCTATATGTTCTCTTCAAAAGGGGGAACATACAAATGACCTTCAGATGACTGCTTTGTTGAAAAATATATTAACAAAAAAGGTTCCTTTAGTTATGAAGATATTTCACATATTATGAAAAAGTAGACTGTCTAGTTTGCCAATATTTTGCTACTGCAAAGTAACTTCCAAAGTGTTCCAGCTCTTATGACTTTCAGGGAGTTACACTTTCTGCTCTGAAGATTGAGCCAAGACAATGGAGGGCCTCTCGCAGTTTCCTGCCCACAACAATAGCATGAGGGAAAGGCGAAGGGTCCTGACTGGAAGTGCAGGCTTCACCTCTCAGAAACCATCAGCAGGAACACACACTGGACCGCTGCCCACACTTATGAAGTGCACAAAAATGTGAGGAGAGGATGCACAAAGCGTGGGAATTTCATCTATTACAGTTTTCCAAAGAATTCCTCGCCTGTGGCCAATAGAGTTGTAACAGGATATGTGTGTTCAAGGAATTTAACCTTCACAGAAACTGACTGTTTATACGTGTCTTACTAATTATTGGAACTCCAGTTTTTTGACTTTCCAAACAAGAAACGGTCATCTGAGAATCACTCCCAATATAAATTCAAAAATATGTCTTTACACTAATGGAACAGACAGAATGTACATGTTAAGAGATTTAGATTAAGCCTGTTGAAAGTGTTGTGTATTTTCTTTTTTGTAAACTATTACCATATTTAAGAAATCTGTGTATCCAAGTCTCACACAAATGTGTGAGCTTTAGAGGTTGTGTCATCAACTCTTGGAAAGAAAGCATGGGGCACAAAATGTCAAACTATTTCTTCAAAGCAGCATCTGGCAGAAGTGCGTACATGATGACCGAGGCCATGAACTACACATAACACTATTGGTGACATGTTTGTTTCATTGGACATCATACAGGAATGCAGCGGGGCGGGACATAAGATATGCAAGATTAGAAGGAAGAGATGATGCAACAGAGGTGATAAGCAAGAATCCTAACACAAAGTACATCATAATACACCAAATATTTATGCACTCAGACTTCTAAATACTTTAAAACTCTGTGATAAAGTGAACATCAGTCAAAAGCATCAATTCACAGGAAAAAAACAGCTGCAGACATAAGATATTTTACAATTTAAATATAAGTACAAAATAATTAGGAGCAAAACATTTAAAAGTAAAAGCATGTTTGCTAAGACAGCAGCCTATTCCAGAGTATTGTGTTATTGCTATAACTTATGCATCAATACATTTACTGTATATTGCATTGTACGTCTTAGAATTCAATTTTCGCAAATCTATTAAATTAGACAAACACAAAGTAGGACATATAGTTTGTTCTAAATAGTTGGGACAAGTATCTCTTTATTTGGATTAAATCAGGGAAATTCACACAACTCAACACAAACGTTGTTTTGTAAAAGGAAATACTTTCCTTATCACAGTTTGACGGTTGCTTGAGTTCAGTGAAGTACTGCAGAATAGATGAGTGTTACATCCCATCAATCAGGTGGATGCCATCTAGTGGTGAGAAGGGGTTTGCCAGGAGAAAAAAACAGAAGGAGAAATATTGTTAGTTTAGTGACTTATTAAGACAGAGTACAGCAGTGCTAACTAAGTGACATTTACACATAATTGACACCAATGTATGTCAGATGTTCTCTATATGAAAGATTCAAATACAACTTTTGTATCTCTGTCAGTGATGTTGCTTTCCCTGCAGGGATCCACAGCCCTAAAGTATGCAGGATGTTTCATGAACCATTTAGAAAGTGGATTCATAAACAAACAGACACACATAGGAACGTGTTTATCATCCTCTGTTTTGGGCCTGTAGGAGCTGAGAGCCATGGCAACCGAATACCGAGGGGAGAAAAATCTGCCTGGCCGAGCTCCATCCCTCTGGCAGTCATGCTAAAACTCTTGAATCCCATGACAAAAACAACATTCCACATCTAAGTGATAGTCTTCAAGGAATTCCTGTTAAACAGAGGCATTTCTCAGCTTGCATACCTCATCCTATTGAAACCATCTGGTGTAACGTGTGAATCTGGAATCTTTGTGCATGTGTGAAAGTTTGCATTGTCTTTATTATAATTTTCTGGGATGAGAAACCGACGTCCTCTGACATTAGTGTGCTAACTGATTTTAAATTGTTAACCAGTGAGAAAAATAACTCCTCCAACACTGCCTTCTTCAAAATAAACACATTCACATATGGGGGAACAGGTAAGACATAAGAAAAGATAAATGATTCACTTCTAGTTGTATGGCTTTTTAGAAATGTTTTTTTAAACGTACATGAATTCCAGTTTGATAAGAAAAGTTTGCAAAAGATGTCCAAGGCTAACTGACAGTCCCCTACGTCAATGCTGACCCCACGTCCTGCACGATAAGTCTTGTTGTGACGATTCTTAAATAGGATGGAGTGAAGATTGAAGCTGAAAAGCATGAAAAAAAAGTCGATCTAACTTCATATCACGCAATAATGTCCTTTGGTTCAAGCATTATAACAACCGGGCAAGGCGCACAACATCTGAGACACAAAGTACAAAGCTCACTATATCTCAGTTTGTTTCAATAGTTAGATTTATCGCGGACTTGTGACACTTATAACAATATCAACAAAAGTATGTCCTGCGGTATTAGGAAATGTTTTCTTGCAGAGGGTTGAATGTTGAAAATCAAGCGTTTTAAGAGCTCTGTTATTTCCGTCCATACATTGCCCACATGGTTCATGTTCCTAAATAAGATTTGTTCAAGTAAAAGCTCCAGAAAAAGAATACTAGTGTTATTCAAACACTGCTGAGTGCTGTTTGAAATAAAGCGAGTGGAACTCAAAGGCATCATGGTACAAACACATTGCACAGAGGGCAGGAGCAGGAGGGTCAGAAGGGTCCCCGATAAAATATCTATGAACAAACATATTATCTAAAATGTGTAATTTGAGAGGATGCAATGTTTTAACTTGAAAAAGAAAGAGATTTAAAAAATATTAAAACAAATAATGATGTGAAATCAGCCCCTAACAGACATTTACTTCATAGTCTGCATTTAATTATCCATGTTTAAGTCATTATTGTTACTTTACGGCATAACCTCCCCATGTGAGATTTCCTACATGAGAGCAGGCGGTCTGTCGGTCACTGGAAGCACCCTTGGGAGTCGGGGAGGGGCCGAGAGATGTTGTGGAAAGCCCACTGCAAGATGCTGTCAATGGACCCCTGCTGAGACCCAGAGAGCAGAAACAAACAGCCGGATCAATCTCTGGACAAAAGGCAGAGTCCTGGTGACGTCATTTGGCAAACATGTACAATATGATGTCCATGACAACGATAATGTTACGATCTTTATCAGATTATTACTGCTGTTATTAAATGACAGTACATCAGGGCATATACTGTCAGTTGACTCAGTTGACTCTTCCTCCATGTGGATCTGAGTCAACTGAAAGGTTCAGCCAGGAAACAAAATCAAATATGTCCTCGTTATAATCATCTTACATCCTTAATGTGTTAGAGTTATGTATTTGAACCACAACTTTAGATAGATGAGGTGAATATGAGGCCCTGAAAAGGTCTAATCCTTATATATAAATCTGGTTAAGAATTTATAGTTTTTTGAGTGCAAAATCATTTTTACAACCAGAAGGAGAGAAACACAAATGATCTATTCTGTTTTCAACAACTAACAAAGAGGATATTGGTACTATTAGAACAATGGCTGTTAATGAATCTGACATTCATTAAATCTTACCTAAACTTAATGAAACTGTTGTAATATTGCATGGGCAAGAACTTAATCATCACACCTTAAACGCAGCAGTGTTAGCTTATAGTACAAAATAAATGTGTAAGATTTAAAACTGTTTGAATCTTTCTCAGCACACACTACCTATGATGTGTTTTTATTTTCAGTTTGATAAAGAGGCGCTGTTTTGTGGAAACACAAGCAGCTTCATGACAACTCCCTCCCTGTGCAGTCATCTTGTCTGTGACATGCATGGCTGTATGATGTATTCATATATCATGTCTACATCTGTTTTTTCGACATAACTGTGCCTCACTCACGTCTCCCAGGATGGAGTCCAGCTCATCTTTGTGGAGGCCGGGCTCAGGGACGGGGGGGCTCTGATCATGAACCCCTGGGGCGAGCTGGACACACACACGAGATTACAATCAATCACAGTCAGATAACGAAGGTGTATATATCATGTGTACACACACGTGCAGACACACCTGTAGGACTCTGGATGATTCAGCCTCCCTCCCTGCGGAGCCGCCCCAGGGCCCGGAGCAGGACGAGCAAATGGATCTCCCTCTAACACACACAGAGACACAGATGGTGAGTCAGAGTGTTTCTGTGTAAAGAATGTTACCTTCAATCAATATGTGATGAGCAACACTCCTGAGGATAACAGAGCAATAGGTTTCAGATGGAAGACTGAACTGTTTGCTCATCATGTCAAACGTATTATGCAATGATTTGAAATCAAATGGCATTTATAAAATGCTGCAAACTCCAAAAAAGGTTTCAGGTAACATTTCATGCTCTGCTAAAAATGGTAAAGGAATCTTAACTTCATCACCAACTATCACACAAAAGCACTTAGACAACAGTCAAATTGGTACATGAGATCATCACCAAGGTTTCATTTGTTCTCTGTTTCTCTGGTAATATTGAGATATATCATTGATCTTTATCTGCATTATACACATGGACAGATTACTTAAAGGACCTAGTGGGCCAGAGCCTCTGATTGAAGTTACTGCAGAGATTTCTTATCGGGAAGTCACAAGAGACACAGAAAGTCCACAAAGAGGCACACAACAAGCCAAGACCCAAACAACCACATCTCTGGCTCTTGTTCTTACTGTATGTAGGAGGGGTGGGGTCCTTTTACATGTTTGTGCCCAGGGGCCCATTGTCTCATAATCAGATCATGAGTATACAGTGTACTGCAAACCCTGCTGCAACTGTCCATTTTAAACCCATTAGTCACCATTAGCAAGATAAGGATCAGAGCGTTAATGCACATTGTTGATCAATACAAACACAAACGGGAGTCCAGAGGAAGGTCTTTATCAGTGAGGACATTACACACTGATGCATGGATCACATTGAGGCTGAGATTAGAAATGTCACGTTTGTGGGAAGTATGCATGTCATCTTCTGAAAAGGTATAGAGGAGATGATAGTGAGGAGTGTCTTACTTGGAGGAGAGGCAGTGTGTGTGGAAGCGCTGCAAACACTGGAGGCAGTGAGTCAGCTCTCCTCCTCGGTTACAAACACTGCACACCTCCCTCACACTGAGCAGCTCTCCACCTGAACACTGGACTCACATGTGATGCAATTTTAGAGAACAGCACAGAATTACCAAATGGTCAGAGGAAGTAATAGCAGAGTTATTGTTTAACAAGTGTGACAAAATGGGTGACAATATGAAGGGTCACCAAGCAGATCACAGAGTCTTTACCTGGCTCATGCCACTCAGCTCATTTGTAGGAGCTGCGACAGCCGTAAGAGCCGAGGATGAGAGCGAGGAGAAGAAGGAGACGTCCATGATGGAGTTACTGGAGCTTGTGGTGGTTTGCTGCGTCTGGGCAATGAGTGGCTGTAATATCAAATATTATGACCATGATCAGTACTGGAAAAATATCACAAACCATTCAGTCTAAAAACTAATCTTTTAATACAATTGTATCATCAGATAATACATATTTTAAAAGGAGAGTATTTAATGCTACTGTGATGTCCATAACAACAAAAATACATGTATTATACTAGAATACAAAACCAATTAAACAACTGATTAACTAACCAACTATCTCAACATCATGAAGATAACTGTATATATTTATTTTAGGAAGCAGATCTAGTCATCAAAGAATAACCATTATGATCTGAAAATATTATACATCATGTTGTGTGGAAACTTTTTAATACAAATATAATCACTAAATACAAACAATTATAATGTATGCATTAAATATATATATATTTGTTTTTTATATATCCTTCAGATACTTACTTGTAAAGGCAGATGGGCATTCTCTCCTTTCACTGTGTTGCCACAGCACCAGTCACACTGCCACGTGCCACTGCAAATAAAACATGTAACTTAAGATTTAAACTTCTTTACAAAGCAGAACTTGACATAACAACAAATGACACAGAGACAAATCTTTGGTTTTTCACCACGGTATAGACGTGAGTGGAGGGAGAAGGCAGGTCAGATGAAAAGCTCGAGGACATCCATCACAACAAATCAGCTCCCCCCCGTCCTTACACACTGCACACTCATCATCATTATACTGAGCCTAAACACAGAGATACAAAACACTTAGGACACAAAAGCAGCTTCAAAGGACAGACATGTGAATGAGTGAATGCTGAGAGGATCTCTACCATGCCTGTGTGTGCCTCCCCCTGGTGGTTAAACATGTTCTCAGCAGCTTGGGATGCTCCATTTGTCTTCTCAGGGTAAAACTGTTCACCAGCTTGTCTGCACTGTCTGACAGTTCCTGTTAAATGACAACGGTTTTTTAACATTTATTTAAAAAATAGTAGTTGCTTATTTCGCTATTAGATCTAGATCGATGCATCATTTCAATGATTCAATATAATTTAAGCAAAGTCAAATTCTTGATTTGAATATCATAATCATCAGAAAGATACACATTTACTTTCACTAAACTGTGGATTTGCAGTTTTTTTTTATTTTGTACTTGTATCAAACAGAATATACACAAAATCTAGTTTGCTACACTATATTTGTCTTGTTAAGGCCAGGCGATACAGAAAGAATAGTTATTCTGCAGATTCTCCTTTGTATCTTGCTACTGGCCCAGACAAGTGATGGTTAGATCTGTGCGACACATTCAGAAACTTTAATACTCCAAAAAAATCCATCATCAGCCTACATGTAAATCAAGTATTCAGGATACTTTTATATGGTGAGTGTTGGATAAGGTTTATGATTTTTTTTTCAACAGGTAATAAATAAATGTCTTGGATTCCTTTTGTAAAGTTACCCTTCCAACCTGCTGGGTAGTTCTATCGATATTTGTAGCCATAAAAGTAACCAGGCTTACCATGTGAAACAAACATCTGTTGGATATGGATCTTCTCTGTGGCGTCATGGCTGACTGGCAGCTCAGCTAAGGAGGAAGAGGAGGACACAGCGACTGGTCTCTGGACAGAAGACGACACCGCATCTGTGGCAGAACTAGGGTTCAATGTTTCTGTAATATTAAATAATTATATTTACATCTAATGTAGAAAATATAACTGATTTGTAAATTACTATTTCCAGACGTTGGCCGTGGGGCTGCAGCTCCACTCTTCACTCTGTACAGTCTTACTTTGCCCCCTGGAAAAATCACACACATCATCATTATCATCATCATCATCAGCTTTAACATGTTCTTAGTTAGAAATCAGAGTCAGAGGAGATGCATTATGGGAAATAACCTGTTCCATCGCTTGTCTTGGCATGATACTGAGGTTGCAGATTGTGTGAGTTTGTCTTTCTGTCCTCGTGGCTCCTCTTCTTGATGTGAGGTGTTTTTGTGTTTTTAGACAATTTCTTCTCACCTCTGGCACCTGCAGCATCCCATTCTGTCCAAAAAATGTCAGCAAATGATAAATGAATACTATAACTTTTGATAAATATGTTGGTGAAACTTGAATGTTACACACTGGAGTGTAGGTTAGTGAGTAGCGTCTGCAGTTTAGGGTAGCTGTCCAGGTTGTAGTCTTTTGACAGGTTGCTCCAGAAGGCCTGGATGGTGGATCTGCTCTGCTCCAGGACCCAGGACAGCAGGGAGTACATGGCCTTATGGATCCCCTCACTGCCTTCCTTCTCCAGAGTGTCCTATAAACAACAGGGGGTGTGTGAACTCTTCAGTCTGAATTGATGTCACAATCTAAAAAGGTGTTCCTGGATCATCGTCTAAATTACAAATCAACAGGAGAATAATAAAGAGGAAAAAGGCATCCTTATCACTTAGTCATGACATTGCTTTTCAGTGTGTGATTGTGTCGAAAATGGCAAATGATTGTAATCAAAGTGAAAAAATAATGTTGTACTTACCTTCAGTAGTTGGTCAGTGATGATATTTTTGTCCACCAACCCGTAGACAAGAGGGAAAGGGTCGTCTACAGCCATGGCGATATCTGTCCGCAGCCCCCTCAGCATGGAGCGGAGGTTTGTGTCCCGAAAAGCTTCCACTCTGGACATGATCCACTTTGTGTGTGAATCAACTCCAAAGTGATCCGAGATCATACAAGAAGTACTTTGGATGGAAGAGGTGTGTCCTTCTCAGGGAGGAACATTGTGCACAGGTGTGTCGTTTCCTGCTAACGATTACTTCAGTATTGATACATTGGCTGATTATTTTCAAGATTTATTATTTAGTCTACTAATATATGAAATATAAATAACGTTAGTAAAAACTGAAAAATGCCATCAGCTTGTCCAAGGCGATGTCTTTAAATGTTTTTTTTTTGGCCCTCATCAAAAAAGAAATACATCACCATATTTGAGGGGCATTTGTTGCAACTCTAGCGTATTACCATGCAAATGTATAGCACTGATGCCACTGATTTCGACTGGCTGAGGTTTTCACAAAGGTTTCACCATTGTGGAAATCGAACCAATTCCCCCTCGACCTCTTGTCTGAGTGTGTCTCTGCGGAGTTCATGTGTCCACTAACAGCAATAACTGTCTCCTTCCATCTGTTGACCCTCATGGGGGTTGTATGAGAAGCTGTCCATCTAGGGGAATACCTGTCCTCTTGTATTGGGAAGACTTGGTGCAAGTGTCTTTAAAATGTCATGTGACAGTTTCCTTCTTAAAAGGTTCTTTCCACCACAACTTCCCCATAACTATCAGATGTTCAGACACTGACTCACTGTGTGGAGCTCAGGATTGGTGCAATAATTATAACAAAATTAACACTGTAAACAATTCACTGATCGACATATTGATGACATGGTTGGTTGCTGTTGCTGTGTAACTTTATTCTTTGTACAGTCAAGACCAATAAAGACAGCCTTTCCAAACTGTGCAGTTTCTTCTATTATATTATTTTCATTATTGTTGTTTTGATTAATACTTAACAACAATAAAAGACACTGGAGCAATATGTTCTATTATTTTTCTTCTTGCGAGCCTTTTCTAAATTAAAATGAATGTTAGGGTACTTTTCTGATGATTGCTGTTATCTGTCAAACAATGTATCACTTTATTTAAATGTTCATAAGGGACCACAGGGCTCTCACTAAAGATACAAAAACATTGTTAAGGTTAACTTTAAAAGCCATTGCAAATGGTCATTAAGTAGTGGGCATACCATAGAGTCCCAAAACTACTTCACCTGCACTTTGACCGTATTAGTTTCTATAGCATGGATGTTTCAACACAACGTCAAACATATTTGCATTATTTCAATGATGCTCTAATGTTTCAGTTAATTGTCGTTCAAAAATCAGTTAAGGCTCACTATAGTATGGAAGCCTGTTTGCGCCACAGGAAGTCATTATATTGACTTAGCTATCTCATTATATTGACTTAGCTATCTCATTATATTGACTTAGCTATCTCAATATATCTACTTAGCTATCTCATTATATTGACTTAGCTATCTCAATATATTGACTTAGCTATCTCAATATATTGACTTAGCTATCTCATTATATCTACTTAGCTATCTCAATATATTGACTTAGCTATCTCAATATATTTACTTAGCTATCTCAATATATCTACTTAGCTATCTCATTATATCTACTTAGCTATCTCAATATATTGACTTAGCTATCTCAATATATTTACTTAGCTATCTCAATATATCTACTTAGCTATCTCATTATATTGACTTAGCTATCTCAATATATTGACTTAGCTATCTCATTATATCTACTTAGCTATCTCAATATATCTACTTAGCTATCTCATTATATTGACTTAGCTATCTCAATATATTTACTTAGCTATCTCAATATATCTACTTAGCTATCTCATTATATCTACTTAGCTATCTCAATATATTGACTTAGCTATCTCAATATATTTACTTAGCTATCTCAATATATCTACTTAGCTATCTCATTATATTGACTTAGCTATCTCAATATATTGACTTAGCTATCTCATTATATCTACTTAGCTATCTCAATATATTGACTTAGCTATCTCAATATATTGACTTAGCTATCTCATTATATCTACTTAGCTATCTCAATATATTGACTTAGCTATCTCAATATATTTACTTAGCTATCTCAATATATCTACTTAGCTATCTCATTATATTGACTTAGCTATCTCATTATATTGACTTAGCCATCTCAATATATTGACTTAATTCACCATCAACTAGTTGTTAATTAACATGCATATTAGCAGTATATTGGCTCTTTATTAGTCATTATAAAACATTTATTAATGCCTTATTCTACATGACCATATTCTACAAGTAATAAGCCATTAGTTGAGAGTTTTCCCTCAATAACCCTCTAATTAGTCCTTATTTATTGCAAGAAAGGAAGTTGTTGTACATGAGTTTTGGTCTTAATATGCTCTGTTCAATATGTCTAAATAACTCAAAATGAGGTATTTCTATCTAAGATCAATAAGCTAGTAGTTTGACTTTAATTGACCTGAACAGGTTCCCTATTCTAAAGTCGCCTCCTCTTCACACTCACACTTTGTAAATACATTATAGCACACAACTACTGGAATTAACCTCAACAGTACATGAACAAAGTAGGCTCACGTTGAAATATCTGTTTTATTAATAAACCGCGAAAGAGAGGTTCAGACACATACCAAAACATGTCAAGTTTCTCCAAAGCTGAGAACATATATGCAGCCTCTACTTTTTAATAAAACTGATTTTTAACAGAGTTTATGTATTTGTGATCATACTGTGTGACCTGCTTGTATGTACTTACACAATAGGTGTACTGTTCTCTCTCTGTGTTGTCCTGTCTCAGTGTGAACATAGATTAAACAGCCAGCCAAACTCTTTTGAGAGCCATGGGAATGAGCAGCCATGCTCCTTTATTGACTTATTTGCAGTCCACTGACATTCAAACGGAGTGAAACTATAAAAAAATAAGTTACAAGGCACTTAATGATCTCATACATGCAAGTGTAACATACACAGATTACTTGTAGAATAGGATCATGTAGAATAAGTGTCACGGTTTTAAGTTTGTGTGTCTGGTAGTGGGTGTTTTTCTGTTCTCCTTGTCATGTTTTCCTCCCTGTGTATTGTCTGGTCTTTCTCCCCGTGTTTTCCTGTCTGTCGTTAGTTTCCGTGGTGTGTCTAATTTCCTGATTGTTTTCACCTGTCATCCCTTCTGCTCATCAGCGTCAGCCCCGCCCCTGATTGTTCCCACCTGTGTCTTGTTACCCTGTGTTTAAATTCCCCTGTCTCCCAGTATTCAGTGTCAGTTCGTTTTTGTCTCATGTCATGTTCAGGTCTATACGTTTTGTCTATGGCCTTGGTCAGGTCTATCTATGCTCCTTGTCTTTTGCCTTGGTCAGGTCTATGCTCTTTTTTGTACTCGTGAAAAGTTTTGTTCCTCACCACGTGAGCTATTTTCTTTTTGTTCTCATTTTTTGTCATCTCATCCTGAGATTAGTTAGTGACCCTTTTTTTGCTGTATTTTGGAAAATAAAGTATCCTACCAATACTTTACCTCTGTCTCCCGGGTCTTGCAATTGGGTCCTACATCCTAAGTGTCTGAGTTTGTAATATAAGGTATTAATAAGTGTTTTATAATGACTAATAAAGAGCCAATATACTACTAATATGCATGTTAATTAACAACTAGTTGATGGTGAATTTGTGTACCTTAATATAAAGTTGTACCGCTTATATGATGAACATTGATGTCTATATATGTCTATTTATTCTGTATTTGACATTGTTTCAATAACAAATAAAATACAAATTATAATAAGTCATTATATTGAGATAGCTAAGTCAATATAATGAGATAGCTAAGTCAATATAATGAGATAGCTAAGTCAATATAATGAGATAGTAAGTCAAAATATTGACTTACAGGATTTCTTTTTTTTTTTTTCCTGTGGCGCAAACAGGCTTCCATACTATAGGCTAGCATAAATGCCTAATTGCTTATGTGCAAAACTTTCTTGCAGCAGCCAGTGACTTACCCCAACATGTATTGACTGGATAGTGTCACCTCTGGAAAGAGGCAGGCTAGCTATTTCACCGTTTTCAGTATTGTTGCTAAGCTAACCATACCATGTCCAGTTGAATTGACAGATATGAGAGTGGTCTTCCTTCTCGTCAACCTCTAGGAGTCTAGGTGATATAGCAGAAAAGTTTACTTCCGAAAATGTTAAATAGTTTAACTGTGTCTGTTTGTATCAACGTTAACATGTGGATACTGTAATGAACTAGATACTAACGTTTGCTAACTATGAGCTAATGACAACAGTGCTGCTTGGCAAACAGCTAATCAAAATCATAGAGGGGCATTTGTTGATACTCAAAAATATGTAGGCCTACATTATGAAATGTGTGTTTTTAGAGAAAGCCTATACTTATATGAGGTAGGCCTATTCTATTTGTCTTAGTTGTTTCCTAAATAGCCTACTACAGGGATGTAAAACTTTGTGTAAGAAGTATCCGTAAAACCAAAAATAAAATCATAGATTAAATAGACCATTTTGCTTTCAGGTAAATGGTTAGGAGAGTGAAGCCCTTTAATCTGTAATTTATTAATCATTAAACATTATTACATTATTCATACTGGTGAACAAGGACCACTTCTACAGAGGGACGTTCACAA